TCCTGTGAGTTATTTTTGAAATGCTAAGTAGATCAAAGCCTTGTTGAAGATTTTGCATTGATATTCACACAGAAAGTGCATCCCTGGACTGCTGAAGAGGCTCTGTAAAATGACAGGGGGTGCTGTCCTAACTTTTAGGGTCATGGAAGGCTTATTGGAGAAGACAACATCTAAGGGAGTAGGATGAGTGGGAGGTATAGTCAGGGGAAGAATGGAATAGGGAAAGCATGGCAGAGTGTCAAGTCCTATTTCATGTTCAAGAAGAGGTATCTGCAAAGAGAAGAGAAATCATGGCATGCCCCCAAAGTTGCACAAATATTTCAGAAGCACCAAAAATTAACTGCAAGAGGGTAGACTTGAAAAAGGAGGTATGCCATAAGGAACATACAGGGGACAATACGAGCAGAGCTTGAATGTCAAATTGTGCTATAGACACAAAATTCTGTAAAGTAAAAGTAAGAGTTTGCTTGTTTTTCCAGCAACTTACACAACTAACAAAATGACACGAGATAGCCCAGAGACCAGGGAGAGTTGGGTGGTGTTCAGAGCAGAGATTGAATTGTGGGCTGATTTAGATAGCCGGAGAGGAGAGCGACAGCACTTCTGGCCAGGAAAACAGCCTGAACAAAGGCCAGGGGTTTGTAGTCACGTGGGCCTGCCTGGTACAGGGATTTCTGCTCAAAGGTAAATGACATGCAAATTTGCCTAATGATACATTGTCAAGGCTGAAGCAGGAACACTAAACCAGTGACTGCCCATTCAACTACCCATTTCCTAGAAAACAAAATTATTTATTATGCCTGGATGTCCATTTTCTTGAGTTACTGAATACCTTTTCTTCGCCCTTTCATTATTTTTCATTAATAATCATATAGCGCTGGCATCATTTATATCCAAGTTTGCAGCTGCATAGACCAAATACATTTTACCGAGACCAGTGAGTTATCTACTGAAATAACAATGATCCTTCTTCATCTATGTCATCATCTATTTGGGTCTCAAAATATTATCATCATGATCATTATTCTTACTCTTATGCTTTCTTTTAGATATCATTTTTAAAGATCTTTTTATGTTCAAAGCCCTGTGATAAGTGCTTTATAAGTTGTAAGAGACACAAAGCATTTCTATATGTCTAGCATCCCTTCTTCAGAAATAATCTGTCCCTCTTCTTGTGTGTGTGTGTGTGTGTGTGTGTGTGTGTGTGTGTTTGAGGGACCAGCCCTTCTTCATTTTAACTCCATGCAGTCCATTCTATGCATCCACACCACTGCCCTTCTTTCCCCATAGGATTTGTGGTGGTGGTAGCCATGGCCTGGATGAATCCACAGGTGGGCACATATCCCAAAATGGACTGAGCCATGCCAGGGCCTAGACTCTTGCTGCAGTGTTTGGAAAAGACATGCTCTCCTTTTGGTGGACTCCTTGGGTGGGAAAGCCATTGAAATCTGAAGCTGACCAGACCAACTGGCTCCCATGGGAAGAAGATCTACTCAACAGTGAAGTCAACACATAGGAAAGCAGAACCAAGAGAAGGAGACAGAGCAACACTATCCTCAAGACATTAAATTCTGAAGTCAGCCATTTCTGAAGGGAGCATTCTGCTGGGCTTTTAGTTACGTGGCTCAAGAAATTCCTATTGAGTTAGGCTTTTGTTCCTGGTCACAGAAATAGTCACAGACTTTTTTTTAAGTAAAAAGCTCCTGTGTTTAACCACCAATATTTCCAAGGATGTGTCCTGGTGAAATGTCAATTTAAAATAGAATCACTCTCCACCTGCCCCCTGCTTCTGCCAGAATTCTTCCAGGACTCACAGGGGTGATCAGGGGTTTGAGGCACTCGCTCAGTCCAAACCCCAACCAACACAGCGTCCTGGCTCTTTTCATTTGGAACTGGTGAGCAAACCCTTTCCACCACCAGGTGGGAAGCCTGCTGGTACCAAAAACAGTTTTGCTCAATTCTATTCAGGGCTGAAATTGATGAAATGGCCCCCTCCGGTGGTGAGAGCAGCTACTATGTTCTCCTTGAAGAAGCTTCCTTAGGTGGGGGACCTGAGATGAACCTACTGGACTCCACGGTCTCCTAATACTTACTGTATTGATAAAAACTGTACAGCTGGAAGGCAGTGACAATGGTGGGACTCAGGTGGCACCGTTCAAGAAATCCCCAGTTTGACTGACTTCTAAGTACGAGGACGGATTTCCTTATATCTTGGGAGAGTTAATTTCATCCTCCGTCACAAGGGGAAGCTCACCAAGTAAGGTTTTCAGGAGTATGCACGAAACCAAACAACCCTAACACAGTAGACTAACCTCTGGTCAGTCTCTGTCCTGCAGAAGGGCAAGATTAAAATGGACGTACTATATCAGAAGAGCAAAAAAGTGCAGGCTCTTTGAAGTCCCTACACATTTGGCCTAAATGCTTCCTGGCTTGTTTTTCAATCAGCTGATGTGAATGACAAGTTATAAATAATCAGGCGACCAGCGTGCCTTGCACTAGAAGAGATGACCTTTATGTTTCCTGAACATCTATTCTAGTGGTCTCTAGGGAAGCTACCTGGAATTAGAAGAGAGTTTACCATGGGCGTTAAAAATAACTCTCCTTCTTTTCCCTCTTAAATATAATGGCACTTAGTGATGCTATAGTTCTTGAGACAAATTTTTTAAAATGTTTTCAGAAATAATATTAACTTGTCGTTTTGTTGTCAGATTGGCAGGGCCCAACTCCTATAAAATTATTTATTTAGTTTGAAAAAGTGACTGTAGATGTCACTGCAGTGTGAGTTCTTGATCTTTTAATCTCCTTCTTGTTCTAAAATTTTGATGGACATGTATTGCTAATGGGAGAGATACAACTCACACCAAATAGGTACCATTCATCCTTCTCTTTTGGAAATGGTCCTCTGGCTTTGAGTTATCTGATTTTCCTGATATTTTTGTCTGCCCCCTGCTGGTCCTTCATCTTCAGCAAGCAGCTTAAACATCACTCACCCAGTGCCCTGTCCTGGGCTCTCTCCTCAATATACACCCTCCCCCTGGTGATTCCATTCAACCTCACAGCTCTACTTAACCATTCATACTGAGTCCTGACTTCCAGACCCATCCATAAAACTGATTTCCAAACATCTACCCGAACATCCCATGGACACTCTAATAGAGTAAAACTGAAATTAGTGTATTTCCTCCTACAACCTAGTTCCAGTCATTTCTTATTATCAAAACCTGGGAAACAGACCAGAATCTTTCCTTTCCCACTCCTTCCTCAACCAACCGGTCACTGTATGCTATGTTACCCGCTCCTCCCATGTGTCTGGTCTTTGTCTTCTTACCATCCTCACTGACGTTGCCCTCATTCAGGCATTTATCATCTCTTACTTGAACTACTGCAAGAAATTCTGCTTTGAAGTCAACCTACGTGTTGTGACTTTTCCAAAATGCAAATCAAATCATGTTCTTCTCCTCTTAACACAAGGGGTTGTTCCGTTTCATACACATACATTTAAATACCTTGGTGCATTATACAAGACCCTTTCCATCTGGCTAATGACCACCTCTCTGGATTATTGTCACAATAACACTGTGTACCAAACAACCACAAAATCTCAGTGACATATTTAGGAAACATTTATTGCTCTCTTGTCTGGAGTGGTCTGCTCAGTCAGTCTTTTTATCTTGGCTGGCCTTGGCTGGTCTAGGGCGTACTTCGCTGGAATGATTGGGGCAACTTGGCCATGCTGCCTGTGTCCCTTGTCCTCCAGCGGGCCAGCCTGGGCATGATTTATGGAGATGACAGAGGTGCAAGAGAGAGCACAAGCAGAAACATGCAAGGTTTCTTGAGGCCTAAGATTTGGCACACTATCACGTCTGCTGAATTTTATTTGGCAATGAATGTCACAGGACTGGCCCAGATTCCGAGTTCAGAAAACAGATTCTGCATATTTAATGGGAGGAACTGAGAGTGGGGATGGGGAGCTGATGCCTTCATTGTACTCTTCATCTTTGTCTTCACTGGCTGTACAGAATGGATAGGAGTCTCCTGAAAATGCCCAGCTCTTTGTACTTCTGTTTCATTTAGCTCCTGCTATACCATCTGCCCAGGATCCCCCTACCCCAGCCCCCAGGACTGGCCCTGGTACACACTAGCTTATCCCTCATGATCTGGCTCTTTCCTGACCTCACTCTGCCTCCTTTGTGAGCTCTGTCTAGCCCTTACTAAGGTCTACATAAGACCTTAACTGTTTTTTTGTCCTTAATTTTTTATATGCTTGTTTCCCCCTAGAGACTACAAATCTATTCAAAGCAGAGACCATTCTTAATTACTTTTTTACCCTTACAGACTAGGATAGTCCTTCTCAAATATTAAACACTTTATAACTCTTGGTTGATTAGAAGTTTGGAAGTGTAGCAAGTATGTGAGTTACAGGGTGCCTGGGTGGTTCAGTTGGTTAAGCGTCAACTCTTGATTTCAGCTCAGGTCATGATATCAGGGTTGTGAGATAGAGCCGAGTCAGGCTCCACACTGGGCATGGAGCCTGCTTAAGATTCCCTCTCTCTCTGTCCCTCTGCCCCTTCCTCCTGTGTGTGTGCACTCTCTCTCTCTCTCAAAAAAAAATATGAGTTACAGAATCTATTCACTTGTGTTTGGATCCACTGAATTGCTAAAAAGAAGTAGCTCGTGAAGATGATTGGTTTGGGAAACAGCTTTTGGGTAACATTTAAGAGAAAACTTTTTTGGGAAATAGTATATTTTTTAAGTAGAGAGGTGAAAATGAGAGGGCCAAGACATTTCCAGCCCCTCTTCTCTAAAAGCACCCCAAATAAGGAAAATAAGAAAGAAAAGCATACATTTACAGGAATTACAGGTCTAAGATAGCATGGAAGGAAAAGTCTGGAAGATGAAAACGAGATTGTTGGAAAGTCTGGACAAGGAATAGAAAGGACTTCCAGCTTCCTGTGCTCACCTGTCACAGTCAGATGACTACATATCTCCCATTCCCTCAGGAGAAGTTTGTTGTCTGGAGAAACTGAGCCAGACAGGTTTAAGACTTGGGGCCCCGGAAGAAGAAGAGTGGAATGCCAACCTGAAAACAGGGGAGTGTTGAACATCTGCACGTGGAATGGTGAGCTTCAACCCCTTTCCCCCCAGGGTAAAGCTCCAGAATGCCAGTCAGGCTCATTTTTCCTTAGAAAGGCTGAGGATCCTTCACTGAAGAACCTAGACTTCCCCAGAGAAAACATCTTCAGATACAGATATTTGGGGCCTTTGATACACAATTGATTGAGTCCCCTATGATTCTCTCACACTCTGCACCTCTCTAAGCCCCACTCATGCCCACAGAGCTTCCAGCAAGGTGAAGCTAGGGAAAGCCCCGAGTGGAAAACCTGAGGAAGCACTTCCTCTAATCATAATGAGCACAGTCCTGACATTGCATGTGTGCAGTTCTGAGTCCATGTGTGCCCCCTTACATTTTGTGTCCCAGGCATTTTGCTTGCCTTACTAACTCCTGGCTCTGGCTTCCAGTCGCTTTATAATGCCCCAATATTATATACGCAGGGACAACCAAGGATTGCCAGATATTTAAAGGAAGCTTTTAATATCCAAGAGAGACCCCACGACAAACAAAGGGAAAAAAACCCTCAGGAAATGGAGCTAATGCAAGGAGAATGAAAAAGCTTCACAGGAACTATAATTTTAACATCCTTGGAGAGAGAAGAAATGTTGCATCTATTTAAAAGAAAAAGAGAGTGGTACAATGAAAAAAGAACAATGAAGAGAATATAAACATGATCTTGGAAAGCAAAATAAAAATTGCTGGAAAAGCTGGAAGATAAAATTGAAGCCTATCCTGAAAAGGAGAACAAAAAGACAGAAAGAAAAAAAAAGGAACCATAGGGAAGAAATGATAAGAAAATCAGAGTCAACCCAGCATATTTGATATCTGATTAATAAGGATTCCAAATAAGGAAAGGAAATGATCAAAAGTATAAGAAAATGTAGATGCCCAGGGTTTATCACTGGAGAGTTCTGATTCACAAGGTCAGTAGGTTGAATTAATGGATTAACTTTATATCTTCACTGCAGCATCTTTAAAGCACACAGTATGAAACACAGACAAAGCAGGATTCCAGAACCGATGAACCGATATTTGATTTGAAATGTAGAGATTGGTTGTGGGAAGAGGGTGTAAGGATGGGGATAGCTATGTTTTAAACTTATTTTGAAAGTGGAAAACAGCTACACATCAGTGTTCAGTGATTACAGGAAGTGGAGACAATGCAGCTGCTAAATGAGTCCCTTAAATATTGACATGACTGATTCTAGTGTGGCTTGTTTAGTAGGAAGTGGGAGAGAAAGCAAAAATAGACCAAAGCAAACATTTGCTCAAGATAAATGAAGAGGAATACATCCTCTCCGTGCTCCTCCTCCCCTATGAAAACATGGCCATAAGCTCCTGACAAGTTTTTTGCCTCACGTTTCCATTGTGATGGCCGTGGTTGTGACTTAGCACATTCTAACGAGTTTTATTTGTGCTTATCTGTCTGACTAAATGCTAGAAAAATATTTTATGCTTACATTGTCACAGCTCTTCAGGGATGAAGGTTAGTGCTCTCCTTCATCGGAGACTGGAAAGCAGTATTCAGCTGTAGAGTCTCATTAAGATTATTTTCAAAACGCAGTCGCAAGCGAGGGGTTCCATTCTAAAGGTTATGGAACTCTATAGAGGTTACCACAAAGTTTGTGGGAGAAATTGAGGCAGCCATTTAAGTAATTAAAAAAGATGTCATTTTCCTGAGGTTTTAGATAATTGAGTCAAAAGTCAGTCAATCTGAGGTAGTTGGATGGCTGCTTACTTCTCTACTGTGCCTTTTATGTGTAATGTGGGCAGCTGGGGAGTTTAAAATCTCCGTGGAGAAATCTCAAAGCAGGAACGGAGAGCACATGAAAGAAGTTTCTTTTGTCTCCCTTTTAACAAGTGAGGAAAATGTGCCGTAACAACGAATTCACTCAAGCTACATGGAATGTTAGGTAAAAGATTTTTCTCTGTCAAGTAACATAATTCATGATATCCCATCTCTACTGACTGAGAAACTATTTGTAGAGACACGTTAGGTAGAATTGTTGCAAGCACATTGAGAAAGGTCTACTCTTATTGTATTTGTCTATTTGTCACTGTGCTGAATAGATGTATTTAGAATTAGATTGGGTTTTTCTTAAAAATCAAAATTATAGGCATTCACTGAGTGAAATGATAAAAATTCATATTCTTTATTTGACTTTCTATTTCATTTTTATTTAGACTACACTTTCCTTTAGGATTATGTACTTAAAATGAACAATGTATTGATGCTGTTGTTAATATTTCTATCAAAGCACACAGTGGTAAGCAGAAATATTCTGTAACAAATACATTCAGTAATAAATTCTGAGAATATATTGGAAGTACTGTCCTAATATGAAATCATGAAACTTAAGCAAACTTTCAAGCCGGCAAGAGCTGCAAATAAAACAAAATATTACAGTCGACCCTTGAACAGGGGGGTTAAGGGTGCACAGTCGACTCCATGCAGTCAAAAATCCATGTATATCTTGCCTATAAATCCCCAAAACTTAACTACTAATAGCCTATTGTTGACCAGAAGCCTTACCCATTACAGAAGCAGTTGGTTAACACATATTTTGTATGTTGTATGTATTATATACTACATTCTTAAAATAAAGTAAGCTAGAGGATAGAAAATGTTATTAAAATCTTAAGGAAGAGAAAATACATTTAAAGTATTGTACTGTATTTCTCAAAATAAATCCGCATGTAAATGGACCTGCGCAGTTCGAACAGGTGCTGTTCAGGGTTAACTATAATTACCCATGTCATAAAGTCCAACTCTGGGTCATCTGGAAACTTCCCGTAGGTTTATTCAGCCACATCTTACCATAGCTATTCAAATGTGAAAGAATTTGCTATGCTTTTCCAAAGATTCTCCTCGTGTTTATTAACAATGACAGATGTGTGAGTCAAGCCTGGACTAATAATATGCCAATTACAGAAGGAGACCAGTGTACTTTAATGCTTATTTTATTTTTTTAGAGCCTATTTAAAATTTTTTAAAATGTGTGGTGAATACTGATTAACTTTGGCAAATCATAAGCTGCCATCCCTTTCTAAATATATTTAATATGATACTCTTAGGCAATAAACTGGAGCAAAGCAAAAAGGAATAATTCTTTTGGATAACCAGAGACGTGTGTGTGTGTGTGTGTGTGTGTGGGTGGGTGTGTGTATTTACTGGATCTTTTTGGAAATCATCAAAGATAGGATAACCTTTCTCCCTAAACCTTACTTTCTTTCTCTAGGATATCTGGCACAAAAAGTAAGATAAAAAGTAAAATAAATGATTTTTTATTCTGTGTAAATTTTAAGAATTGTGCTTTTTTAAAAGGGTCTGTGTTCTTCCTACCATTGCTGTACTTCCTTGCCTTTTCCTCCTGCTTTGCTATTGGCCAAAATTGCAATGAAAAAAAAAAACCCATCTCAATGAAAAATACCATCTCATGTATTGGAGGCCACGTGGCAACAGCAAAGAGGGACTGGGGTTTATTAACATATTAACAAATATTCCATCACTATATAGTTAGGCACTTAAGAAACATTGTCTGATTTAATCTTCAAAACCAACCTGTAAAGTGACAATTGATTCCTCCGTTTTACAAATGAGAAAACTGAGACTTGAAGAGTTTACATAAATTTCCCCAAGATACATAGCAAGTGAGCAGCAGAATTGTCACGGGGAACCCAGACTGCATGATTCCAAAGTCCATGTTCTTTCTATTTTATCACCCAGACCTCGCGATCGTGAGGAAACCCGGTGGATGGGAGCAGTGCGGCGCAAGGAACTGTTCCTGACCATCTGCGGTGACAGAGAGTTTGCACCAGAGCATACTTCTGCACACGACTTTCTTTATTGTGAAGCTCTTGCCTTGAAAACAACTGTCAACTGCACTCAAAATAGCGTGCAGGTAATTGATTTCTTTTCTGGAACAAGCCCCTTATCACAGCTCATTACAAATAGTTTGAGGAGCGGCAGGGGTCCTCGGACCACACTTTGAGTAACACTGGACTTAAAGAAAAGACAGTAACTGCAGTGAACTAGTGGGGTCACCATCCAACGAACGGTTCTGAGCGTCTTTGGAACTAGAATCAGTTCGATTGTATCCCCTGCCCCTGCCTAATTTGTAGCATCGTTATCCATTGCAGAAATCAAAGTGCCTACTCTAAGGAAGCTCAGTATTTCCCACATAAGGCGAGAGGAATGGTTCTGAAATATAGACAGAATCCTGGCTTAAATCCTGGCACTTTCTGGAGCTCTGGTATGAAAGAAAAAGCAGGGTTTATGTTAGAGTCGTGAGAGCTTTGGTAATTAGGATGGGCTGCGGAAGGAGTGCCATAATGAGGTTAATAGCATAGTCCTGAAACCTAGACCATGTTGGTTTGAATGTTGAAAGGCTCTACCTTAAGGGCTGTGTGAATAATGTGAAGAGCTTAGCACGGCCTGGCAGAGGCGCTCAATAGACAGCACCTCTATTATTAGGATCAGCTTTACAAGGAAGCGGATCCATATGTGAAGGCGTTGGATGTTAACTGGTAGAGCATCTATTCACAGTACATGAAATGCCATCTTAAATTACAATTTCTTCACATCTTATAGCCTTTACAATCTTCCCGAAGCCAATTTTAAAATGCAAATACTCCGGATATCTTATCTTCGGTTAGTATAAATAGAGGTCAGTTTCATTTCCTACTGTGTCATTTGCAAGTTTTCAAAGTAACCACTTCATTCCTAATTATAAAAGAAGTGTCTACATTTCTGAAAAAGACCCATCTGAGCATCTGAGCTCAGCTCATTAAGAATTAGCTTATGTCACAGTGTTTCCCAAATTATGTTTTACTTTATCACAGTGTCTGACATATGCTCTGTTTAAAAAAAGAAAAGAAATCATATCAAATAAAGTTGGGATATACACATCCCAAGATTCATGAAGCACATCAACATATTAAAGACCTGAAACAATCTTACGGAAAAGAAACCTTTGTTTACCCTTGAATTTCCCAAACCAATTTGATCAGAGAACACTTTTGGTAGGCAGCACCTATTCACAGCGTTGATTTAAGACCACCCGCTGCCATAAGAGATTATTTTAAAAACTTAATAGTTAATTCTGTTGGGACGGTACCTAGATTAAGCACTTGGAACAAGGGGATATGAAGAGAGGTTCTTAAAAGGGGAGGCACGGAGATGATAGTGAACTCTGTCCTGCATGGAAAGAACAGAGAAGAGAGACTCGTGACCTTCTGCCCTTCTCCAATTTATTCACATACTAGCCACTGACCTGTGTTTGCCGCTACATCACTTAACCTGGCTAGACCTCAGTTTTTTCCCTCTATCAAATGGGGGGCTAATGCAAGGTACTATTTAGGGTCTCATCTAGATCAGCTATCCTGGTCTTCAGTTTAATTTTGTTTTGGAAAAGAATGCATGCAAGATATTTTTTACATTGGTAGAAGTAGTGGTGGTATAAATTTGTTTTACCTGTTTAGAGGTTTTAATTTTCTTTCAAGGATTCTAGGCTGTCCCAAAGGTCAATAAAAATGTTTGATATAAAGCATTTTAGTAATTTTTTGTAGTTTGAAGATTGTTACTTGTTATAGCTCAAAGTCTCTATCTAGATATGACTTATTTAAATAA